AGTGGATCTATACAGCAGAGTGGTTCTAAGACATCTGTCCAAACTAATCAGGGAAACCCTGCTAGCAACAACCATGTTTAAACATGGTTGGAGTGCTCACAGTTCTGCTCCTGTTGCAAAATAGTAAACATGTGAGACTTGCTGAACCCTGATATGTTTGTTTTACGTTTATAGTTTGGATGGCATGTTAGTTGAAATTTGTTACTTTTAAGGGGGCATTTGGGAGCTTGCCCTGTATTTGGTTTTTTTTCCCTCCTGCATTATCTTATACAAAATCAGAGCTGCCAAAACCATGCACTTATGTGGGTATGAAACAATTATCCTGGTTTATACAGAGCAGAGTCTTTGGCACTACTCTACCTCAGTGAGCAGTCATAATGCTGAAAGGGTACTTTAAAGCCTTCCCTTTGGATTCTTCTTTCCTCTCCAAGCAACAGACTGAATTTTTGTCAGCCAGATTCAGGGTTTTAAATAATAGGAGTAGATGGCAAATGTGAAGAGTATACTGTATACAAAGTAGATACAAGGGTCTGAAAGGAAGTGAGGATGATCTACAGAAAGTGACAGCTACTCAGCATACAAGCTAACAATTTTGATTTGAAACTCATGAGAAAGTATAAAAAATGTTTATTTTTGCCAGTTGCCAAGTACAAAGGTGTGTGGTTTTCACTGACATGCAAACCTGTTGGCTGTGGCTGAAGTACTGAAAGATAGTAATTTCCTTGTGTGGGTATTCCATTAACAAATATAAAACTGGGGTAGTATAAAAGCACTTATTTACCTGTAGACAGATATACACACACACACATGCAGCTGCTGCTGTCTGTGGGATTCAAAAATGCTGTAGGCCTTCCACTTTACCAGCACTTCAGGCAAGTTCTTTCTTATTCAAAGCAGCTCAGGTGTACTGTCTGAATATTCAAGGACATAATGTTTTGTGTTTGTCATGAAAAGGGGGGGAAATGAATTGATCTTAATACAGTTTGGGTAAAAACATAAGAATGGCCATACTGGGTCAGACCAATGGTTCCTCTAGCCCAGTATCCAGTCTTCTGAAAGTGGCCAATGCCAGATGCTTCAGAGAGAATGAAGAGAACAGGGTAATTATTGAGTGATCCATCCCATCCTCCAGTCCCAGCTTAGAGACACCCAGATCAGGGGTTGCATCCCTGATCATCTTGACTAATAGCCATTGATGATCCTATACCCTATGAAACATGTTCAGTAAAACCAGTCATTGCTAAGATTCATGTGAAGTGGAGTGCTCTGTATCTAAAAATACCTGGGATCTTTAGTAATGATAATCATCATTTGCCACAGTCTTGTGAGGTGAGAATTCCTGCCTACATGAGAACTGAAGGTGAAAAGTGTGAAATATCTGAAATTCCTGTTAAAATTGAGAAAATATGAATTGAAAGTCAGTACTGGAGATCAGTGTGGATTTTCTTTTTGTGATTAGCAAAGGTCTATTCCCCCCCACCCCCATGTCTTCAAGATTGCTTCACAAAATATCAAACTTTTAAAATTGATTTAGTTCCATCAAAGAAAGTAAGGCCAGTGTGATATCAGGCAGTGGTAACATGCTCGCATAACCTCCTCTTCCCAAAGAGATTACAAGGTATGGTGTACAACATTTTTGCTCCAACAATCCAGGCACTATCATTGCTTCCAAGTCAGATAGTTGTTTCTACTACAAATGAAATTCTGTCTTAGTATGAGTCATATCTGCTTACAAGTTAATGGGAATTGCTCCCATTTACACACATGTTGAATTTGTCCTAAAATTTCAGATTAAATCTAGGAGAATAGCTAATGAGAGTTTAGTATAAGTGGCTTCAAATACAGAAGTATTTCTTAAGATATATCCAGTCAAATAACTGCTTTAGTATTAATGGTTTCAGGAGAGAATCATCACATTTTTCTTCTCAGGAAGATGCTCACAAAGTTGTTACCCTGTGCTTGTCTCTGGTATAAATAAAAAGCCTTTCTTTGAAGTTCTTTCGTCTAGTTCCTGGACAAAGAAAACTATTGCACCTAACTGCAATTTCATATTTGAGTAACAACTTTTAAAGGTTGAGCAGAGTCCTACTCATCACCTAGTGTGAAGAGCAGAGGAATAGGAAGACAGTTTAGGTATTCAGTCTGTTTAAATTGAGTGTTTAGCTGTTTGACACAGATTTTGCACCAGAGCTATGAAAACAGAGTACAATTTAGGCATCATTCATAAGACTGCAAATGAGTTCCTATTCTTTCAAGGTCCTTACTGCTACAGCCACTACAGATGGTAAAGTGATGGATTTATGGGAGCACAATGTTTATAGAAAGGTTCAGGTTTCCTAAGTGAACAGAGTGAAAGCACTCTCAGCAGTTATCAATGTTCATCATGTCCTAGGAACAGTTTGAAGAGGTCTAACTTGTAGTAGGAAGCAAAGGAAATCTGATAGAAATGAACAATTTTGGTGAGTGGTTAGTGGTGTTTGAAAATCATAAAAGTGTCTTTTGTAGAGCAGCATAAATGGGCTTGCTCTGAAAGTGACTTGAAACCACATTTTATGCATCTTAAATGCAAACGATTTTTAAAATGTTTGCGAGTACAATGTTCAGATCAGAAAGTGTCCTAAAAGAATGGTGCATCCATTGTTCCTAAAAGTCAGTGAATAAGGCTCTGTGGGGTCGGAAGCTTTGGCCAGTAAAGTCTCGGAGTACCAGATCAGTCCCCATCATGAGATGGCTGTGGCCATGTATAAACTCAATATATTAACACCCTGCCCCCCACAAAAAACCCTCCCCAACCCTGTAACAACAAAAAGACCCACAAACTTAATTTAAGAACTGGCCTTACTAAAATCTCATCCTAGAAGCTGAAAAGTGAAGTTGAACAGAGTAAGTCAGAAGACAGATAAATCCAAATACTACTGTGTCACTAATACTTAAGCAGATCTGTTGCTAAACAAAGTTCTGTGATTGTAAAATCTGTGTGGATTTGGAATCTGTCATATCACTTTGCCAGTGGAGCTCATATTGTTAGGGATCTGCAGAGTTCAATGTAGTGAAAATAAGTGATAGTTTATGTATGAGATGTTTGGTCTTGTCAACTTTCAGATTACTATGCTAAAATACCCCCCCTCCCAAAAAAAACACACCTCCATCTGCTGCCTAGACTATTAAAAAATTAAAGCAACTTCACCCCAACAGGCTTGGAAAAGCAAAAACCAGGCACAGTGGGAGGGACTTGGGAAGAAAATAAGACTCTCCTCCATTAGGAAAGCTATTTAAAAGTGGCTCATTTTCCTCCAGTGACCATTAGAAGAGTTTCAATTCTTACTTGACCAAGAAACACCGTAAAACATTAGTCAAACTACATCTTAGCAAGGGTGTGGCACTTTTCAGTCATAAATCTCAGTGTGTAAGGGGTGGGAAAGTATTATCATCCCCATTTTAGAGTCAAGGGGAGATCCAAGAATAAACATTAGGCATGGCTGGGATTTAAGCACCACAAGGCGTTCAGGGAGGGCAAACACATTTAAAGCAATAGCCTGAAAAAACTGGATCTTTCTTCTATTGTCAGAAGTCGCATTACATCAGAAAGAATACTTTGGAGCCTCGAATTTCAGATCTCTTGTGTATTCATCCACTTTACCTCCCACCCAACCCAGAAAACAAGGCCTAATTGGAGGGGGGGCAGCTTGTTTTCTCTTCCCCCCCCTCCAATATACAGAAAAAATAAAACTAGTCTAGAGAAAGAAACTTTGTATTTTAAAAAAAAATCAATTTATTTAGTGATCTGTACATGTGATGAAGTGTGGCCTCATTCAGGCCTTCCAAAACTAAACAAAAAAATCAAGTAAAAATGTATAAATACATATATATTTTCTTACAAAATGTGACATTTACAAAATATACATACTGCACTTGTCTTACAGTTTTTCATGTGCACATCATAAAAGACAAAACAAATCCTATGAGTTTGGGATCAGATGTACTGGAGGATTTGACTGATGGGATATTTCCTTCTCCCCCACCCCAAGCTACTGTATTGCCCACTAGACAAAAGCAGTCTGTTCTCCTCACCCTGAACAGCTTTTAAAATTTCATTTCAGATATCTGCTCTTTATTATAAGCAGCAATTACAGACTAAGGGGGGGGAAAGTTAGGGGGCAGGGCTTGTTAAAAATCCTTAATACCCTGATTAGTCTTTAGGCAAAAATAAAAAACTCTTTAGATCATAAAGCTAAAAAGTAGTATTTCAGAAATAAAAATATGAAAGTCAACCTATCAATTTAACACATAAATGTAACATGATTGAAGAGTTTGAAAGAATAAGTACTGGTCACATATCAAAAGGAATATGAACGACTGTGAAGAGAAGTTTAATTTCTTGTTATTCAGTTTCCCTTCTCTGACAACGTTTCAGATATGATCACTGGGAACTTAAGTCTCTGTACTTCTGTTCAGAAAGTACCTAAAACAAGGTGACCAGTTCCATCTTAAAAAACAACACTGCACCATTGTTTGTTACTGTGCTGTTTAGGGAATTAGAGGACAAGACAAATTGGCACTTCATGGTCTAAACTATTCCCTCTCATCCAGTCACTTTGCTTTTTTAGTGTACCCTAGAGCAATCCAAACATAAACAGCAAAGAAATAAGGCATATGGGAAGGAAGAGAAAAATTTTATATACTTATCTTACATATCTTAATGCAGCCTGTTTTGTCAGGTGTTCTGAATTAAGCATGTTTAACAAGAAGTCTGGCATTTCTTTTAGCTAGAACAGAAACCCATATTGAACAGTGTCTGAAAACATCCTGCTGCCTCCTTTTTCATAAAAAGAATGTTTATCGACCTGTGCTAGTCACATCCAAGTTTGAATTTTAACGACTTTTTTGTTAGTTTGCCCATAACAACCGGCCTCATGCTTATGCCTTTCCACAGAGAAAAACACTTTTGTTTCCTCGTTGTCTCCTATGACAAAGGCAGGGGTGTGTGTGTGTGTGGGGGGGGGGGGGAAATGTTTGGCTGAAAAGCAACAAGTCCTGTCTTTTTAGGGTATTAAATAGCAACTCCTTCCAAGCAGCAAGGTTAGGATTCTCTTTGATAAGTGATGGTTAGATATAAAAGCAACCCCCTCTATATGACAGGATATGGGAAAGCTCAACAGCACGTGATTATAATTGGTAGCTTCTATTAAAATACTCACGTGATTACTCTGGGTTTGAATGAGAAGACAGTAAAATAGGATTCAGGAAATTAAGCCAATATCGGCTGCAGTATGACCCCACCGAAGTAAACTATGATTGAACCACTTCTTGACTCAAAGTTTCATTGGTCCACACTTTTACATCGGTCACAGCACAGCAGATCCAGCTTAACCTTTTGCCCAGACACTACAGTAATTCTTTTTTTAGAAAGGAAACTTCTTGCAGTGGAAGAGCTCCCCACCAGCAGTCTGAGAAGGGTACTTACTCTGTGCTTTTCAACTTGGTTGGCAAGAAAGCGACCCAGTCACTGCCTGGGGGTTTTGTCTTCGGCAAGGCAGAGTTGTGAGACCCCAGGGAGCCCTCTCCCAGTCCTTGGAGAGTCACTCCGGTGTCTGCGCGGCTTTTCCAGGAGTAGCAGCAGCAACAGCCGGCATCAGGGAAGAGGAGCAAGGTCTCATCATACCGCTGTCTCCCCTTTGCTGCCGCTGCTGAGTCTATGGTAGAAGCGCCGCCAGGACTGGAGGGTTTTGCCGGACCAGATCCAGAAGCCGGTGGTGATGCCCACGATCATAGTCATGAGATACTTGATCATGAAGACGGTGAAGTCCGGGCTCATGGGGGCGAAGTGGCCGGGGCAGGGCACGGCGTAGCTTTTGCAGGTCTGCAGCAGCCACGTCTTCTCCCAGGTCTCGCGGAAGGCCTGCTCGTAGAAGTAGCAGGCCAGGACGATGGTGGCGGGCACGGTGTAGAGCACGCTGAAGACCCCGATCCTCACCATCAGCTTCTCCAGCTTCTCCGTCTTGCTGCCGTCGTGCTTCATGATGGTGCGGATGCGGAAGAGGGAGACGAAGCCGGCCAGCAGGAAGGAGGTGCCGATGAAGAGGTAGACGAAGAGCGGGGCCAGCACGAAGCCCCGCAGCGAGTCCACGCTGGAGAGGCCCACGTAGCAGACCCCGCTCAGCACGTCCCCGTCCACCTGCCCCATGGCCAGGATGGTGATGGTCTTGACGGCCGGCACGGCCCAGGCGGCCAGGTGGAAGTACTGCGAGTTGGCCTCGATGGCCTCGTGGCCCCACTTCATGCCGGCGGCCAGGAACCAGGTGAGGGACAGGATCACCCACCAGATGGAGCTGGCCATGCCGAAGAAGTAGAGGATCATGAAGAGGATGGTGCAGCCTTCCTTCTTGGTGCCCTGCGCCACGGTGCGGTAGCCCTCCTCTGAGAAGCGCTCCACGCACACCGCCCGCTCCTCCAGCAGGAAGCCGGCCACGTGGGCCACGGCCACCATGAAGTAGCAGCCCGAGAGGAAGATGATGGGCCGCTCCGGGTAGCTGAAGCGCCGCATGTCCACCAGGTAGGTCAGCACGGTGAAGAGGGTGGAGGCGCAGCACAGCACCGACCAGACGCCCACCCACAGCCGGGCGAACCGCACCTCCGCCTCCTTGAAGTACATCAGCCCGTGGGGGCGGCCGGGCTCGCAGGGCGCTCCGCAGTCCCGCTCCCCCAGGAAGCGGTAGCCCAGGTAAGGGGGCACCTGGAGCTGCCGGGGGCAGGAGAAGGCGAAGACAGCGTGGGGCGGCGGCGGGGTGAGGAGCCCGGGCAGGTAGGGGGTGGGGTAGGCGGTGGGGCCGCCGGCCCCTGTCCCTGCTCGGCCGGGGGCCTCCGAGGTGTTCTGGCCCACGCAGATCTCGCCCGCGCCGTGCACGGGGAAGTTCTCGCAGCGCAGGCGCTCGGGCCACTGGAAGCCGAACTTGTTCATGAGCGCCTCGCAGCCCTGGCGGGCCCGCTCGCACAGAGAGCGGCAGGGCGGGATGGCCTGCTCCAGCACCGTGCACACCGGCGCGTACATGGAGCACAGGAAGAACTTGAGCTCGGCCGAGCACTGCACCTTGACCAGCGGGTAGAACTGGTGAACCTCCAGCCCGGCGTCCTCCTGGTTGGTGTGTCCCAGCAGGTTGGGCAGGATGGTCTGGTTGTAGGCGATGTCGGTGCACAGCGGGATGGAGATGGGCTGGCAGAAGCCGTGGTCCGGCACCGAGATGCCCTTCTCGCCGTGGTACTGCTGGGCCGCCGAGCCCGCGGGCACCCCCAGCAGGGCGCCCAGGAGGGCGGCCAGGCCCAGAGAGGCAGCCGCTGCAGCCCACATCACCGCGGCAGCTGGAGAGAGCAGAGGCGCGGGGAGCCCTTCAGAGCCGAGCCGCGGGCTGCTGCAGGTACATCAGGGGCCCCGAGAAGCCAGCGGGGGAGGCTCACGCGGAGACGGGTGGAGGAGGAGGAGGGTGCGGACGGATTGCTGCTAAACCAGGTCTGTGAGCCCTGGCCAGGCGCTGGAGAATCCTCGGTCAATCCCAGCCTCAAGTCTGCCGTCTTCCCTGGGTGCAGCGAGAGTCTATCCCCACCGCCCAGCCCCAGCCAGCCAGAGTCGCCCCACGCGCGAAGTTTCCTGAGATGCCTGGAGTGGGGGGAGGGAAACAAAACACCCGCAAACGTAGGCAAAGTCTTTCGCCAGCTCCGCAGAAAGTCCCGTGGCGGCGGCAACTCGCTGGCTCCGCTCCCCGCCTGGCTGCTCAGCCCTAAAGCCTGGGATTTAGGTTACAGTTAAACGGATTATTAGTTCGCCCGACTGATCCGTGTATTTACTGGGGGGCTTAAATAACTTTTAAAATCCAATTACTGCGCGATCCTCCCTCCGGCTCCGACGGTTTCCCCTCTAGACTCCTAATCAGTTGGCAGGGCCGCCGAAACGCGCCTTCGTCCCGCTCGGCAGCGGACAAAGTCCGAGGCGAGGATACAGCAGCCACTGGAACCTCTCCTCTGGCGAGCGACTCCTGTCCTGTAGAACACAAAAAAGATACATATATGTCTGAGGATTCCACGGAGCCCCGCCCCTTCCCCATTCACAAACCACACAGCAGGCGGGGCATAGAACCTCAGCTCCTGCCAATTGCAGCGTCTGTTGCCTCCACGGCTCTGATCAGAATTGGTTAGAACAGATGAAAGGGGCGTGGGGAAGAGGGAGGGCGAGGAGAAGCCTGGACTGCGCTGGGAGGGATCTCTCAGTTGAAAAGTTGAGAAAAACTTTTCTCCCACCTGTTAAGGGGGCATGGGGTAGTGTCGAAGGCGGATCGGGTGTGGGAGAACTGTGTCTGAAAAGATCTGCCTTTCCCCCTCCCTGAAACAATTTTTTTTTTGTTGCGAATACCAGGCGCCCTCAACAAATTCCGTCTGGGATTGCTGAGCTGGAAGGTTGAGTAGGAGAAAGATTCAGAGATTGCACTCAGGGTGGCCTTAATAAACTAAAATCAAGTAATGTTTGCACAGGCTTTGAAAATGTAAAAGAGCTAAACAAATGCCAAGAATTATTACAATGGAAAAACAAGCAACATCCTCTTCACATTTACGGAGTAAATGGGTGACTTTGTTGGGATTTGTAACGTGTGTGTGGTGGTTTTTCTTTTTCTTTTTTTATGGGGGATCAGATTTATCACTACATAAAGCTTTATTATTCTTGCTGGTAAAATAAATGAATTTGTGATGGGGCTATAATCTTTAGATAGATTTTTAAGGCATTTTTTAAAAGCTTTTGTTATAGACCACTGAGAAATTTAAAATTACATTCATAATCTTGATACAAAGTCTCCACCCATAACAATCTTGTATGCTGAGATCATATATAAAACCCCACATTTTACTTTCAACTTTAACTTTCCTTAAGATCCTTTATTCTTTTAAAGTTTCTCTATGAAAATGTATACCTTGCCCTTCAGAAAAAGGTGAACCTCATAGCTTAGGACATAGACATCATTAGAGGGCTGGGAGTATCTGCAAAATTAGACTAATTTATGGACAAAGGCTAGAATGTGGCTTTTGCAGCCACATCTGTGTTTAAGGTGCTCCATCTGAGCAACAGTTGCTGGAGGCATCCTGCCTCTGGAACATAGAGGCAAGCAGAATTCCTTTGTTTGATACTCAGGAAAAACCCCTATTATACCTTTTAAAGAATAAACTGTGTTTGCTTTTCTTTTGCAAAGGCCCTTGAGCACCACTAAATGACGAAGAGGAGGGGGCCCTAGTCGTGCTCCGCTCATCCCAGCCACATCCTCCTTTGGAGAGTGGTGTGTGCAGCTCCGCCAACCATGCTAGTACATTCTCAACCTCTTGCACTAAGGAGACCAACTGTGTTCTCAGTAACAGTAGTGTAAATCTAGACTAAATCCTGATGGTGTTACTTTGAATTTACACTGGCTTCAGAGCGCAGAATTGAGCCCAGGGAACTCACACTGACATTCTGACTAATCTGTGTGGATGTACTTTGTGGGGAAAATTGTTTCCTACACTTACTTACCGCTCTTTAGAGCAGCTACAGTGTAGCCCAGTGTTAATAACACATTGGAAAATTCTATCTTTGTTACATTGGATAAAAAAATTAGATACAATAATGAATGGACATTCTACTAAGTATTTAGTTCTCCAAAAGTATACTTTAAAAAAACAAAACAAAACACTGAACTCTCAAAAATACATGGGGTGGCATGATTCAGCTCATTTCATTATTGCAGGACTAGTTTCTGGAAAAGAAACCCATCATTCCTTTATTTTCAATTACAGACGGTTGAGACCATCCCAGAGAACCTTTTCTTCTTCCGTCTGGTATGGTTTATTTCCTGAATAACTTGCTTTCATACATCCACTAGCAAAACATGATTTTCCAATGTCTAACTTACATTTGTTCCCCCAGCAAAAACTATATAGGCTTGCCTACAGTATCACTTGCCCCTTTGCCATCAATAAAATGTAAAAGATTACTATTTCACTTTATTTCTTTAATACTTCATGAGCTGCTGAGTTAGTTTTCTTTACAACTTGCCCTAAAACCTTCATTTTCTCTCTAGATTATGACTGCTTCATCTGCAAAGCATTTTGTGATATTGTCTATGAAGAATGTTATATGAAAAGAAATGCTTCACTATCAGTCAGTGACAATGCAGAGAAAGAAACTAACTGTAGACTTTCTGCCCCCTGCTTTGCCCACTCTGATTTCTGGATGTAAGGAATCAGGGATTCACAGCTGGTGAAATGATGTTGCAGTAGATCCTCTTTTTGTACAGAGCTAGGTTTCAGCAATATAGAAATTGTGACTGAAACCAACGAGACCAAGAAACTTCAAAATTGATTTGTAGATCATGTGGCAGATTACATCATGGGCTAATCAGAAGGCCCTGTTGCAGTTCCACACAATGGGACAAATTAAGCATGCAGGGCCAAATTCAACCCTAGGGTAAGCAGCTATAGGTTCATTGAATTCAGAGAAGCTGTACCCATTGACACCACAAGTATGACCCAAATATTTATTTTCACTTTGAAGTTTTGCATTTTTGTCTCAGACATACGTTTGTGGTTCTTTACAAAAAATAATAGTTTCATGCTTTACATTTTTAGGGTGGTAGGAAATGGGAGACTCAACCCTCAACTTTCCTATTGAAACCCTGAGGATCCCCTAGTTTTTCATTGCTTGACAGCCCCTTCATTAGGCCATTGGTCCAACCCATCATAGAATTTATGAGAAATGACATGAAAGACTCTGAGGGTACGTCTGTACTTACCTCCGGGTCCGGCGGTAAGCAATCGATCTTCTGGGATCGATTTATCGTGTCTTGTCTAGACGTGATAAATCGATCCCGGATCGATCCCGGAAGTGCTCGCCGTCGACACCGGTACTCTTGCTCCGCGAGAGGAGTATGCGGAGTCGACGGGGGAGCCTGCCTGCCGCGTGTGGACCCGTGAATAACGTAGCTGAAGTTGCATATCTTAGTTCGAAGTGGGGGGTTAGTGTGGACCAGCCCTGATGCTTTACACAATACAGTCATACACTTTATACAGTATTTCATAATAATGTATTGAAAGATACTTGAGTTCAATAATAAGAATGGCCATACTGGGTCAGACTAAAGGTCCATCTAGCCCAGTATCCTGTCTTCCGACAGTGGCCAATGTCAGATGTCCCAGAGGGAATGAACAGAACAGGTAATCATCATGGGACCCAATAGCAGAAAGAAGGCGAAACTGAAGTACAGACAAGGAGGAAAGGGTGCCTTAATTAATTCCTGAGGAGATATGAAAAGAGAGAGAGCTGAGGAGGTGGAAGGATACTGAAAGACTGTTCCAGATGGTAGAAATGTGCAACAGGAATCAACTATCCCTTTAAGACTGAGAGGGGAAGTCTCTGAAGCATGTGCCATTCCAGATTTTTCCCTCTGAAAAACACAGACTCCAGGAACAAAGGAAACAACCACTGTAAGAGAGAAAGTGATCCCAGGGTGGCAGTTTGAGGTCTGAGGATAACCCAGTCTGCCAACTTTGTTTAGAGCCCGGGAACAGAGCCTTTAAGTGTTGGCAGTCTGTAGCTGCCTGATCCCTCCACCCCACCTCTCAGTCAGCCAGCCAGCCCGAAAGAATCCTGAGGGCTCACTGTTGTATCTCACACCAGAGTCCTTGAGGCAGAAAATAAATTACCCAACACTACCTTTTGGGATCTTTCAGAGAAAAAGAAATGAACCCACCAAGGATAGCCCGTTCCACTCCTGCCAGGGAACACGAACATGTCAACAGCATTTCCTGATCCACAGCGTCAAAGGCAGCTGATAGATCCAATAATACCTGCCTGGGCACCTGATCATTATCCACTCAGGTCAGAATCCTTACTGACAAATTCAATATCGCCATCCCCAAATGTTTAAAAATCATGAATCAGGCTCACCAAAAATCATGAGATTGGCTTTAAAATCATGAGTTTATGTAAAAATAATAGATTTTTATTTGCCTTCTGCTTTTTGAACCTTTAGGGTGCACTGGAGTCATATTTGGAAGCTTTCTCCACATCCATGAGGGCTATAAACTTACTTTTTCTTTAAGAATGAAGGCTGAAATCATCACATATCCACTTGACTCCAGGAGCTGGGACTTTAAGGAAAACAATAATTATCATGAGACTTGGCAACACTGCAAGTTTCAAGGAATTTAGAGGCATTTAGTCCATTCCCCGTCCTGCCAGCTTTTCGTATCCTGGCTCTGGAACAGAGGTTACACAGGTCGTGGCATGCAGTTTTCTCAATACATCCAGAATCTCCATATGACATTGGTTGAAACTCAAGCAGGAAATTCATAGCACTTGTCTCCCCAGATATTGCCCTGTCTTCACTGATACAGGCAGCTCGGTCTAAATGTCACTAGTTTTAATCTGCAAAGCAACTTAAATTTTTGCACAACAGGAGGGATTCTCATCAGCAGCTGAGTGAAGGCAGCCAACATTAACCGGGTTGTCAGTCACCCAGAACAAATCTGTTGAACAGCAGGGGCATCATTTTCTATGGGTCAAGGGGGGCAGTCACACACATACCCCCAGCCTTGGTTCCTCCGCTCTGACTTTTTACAGGTCTATCTACTCCACTTTTTGTCATTCTCTTCCCCTCCCCCTCCGACTTTGCAGGATGTAATCACATATGTTCTATATGCTGATGCAACTTTGCCTCCCCTCCCCCAATTATTTCCTCAAATGATGCCCCTGCTGAACAGACTTAGATGCTGAGAAACTATCCTTTGCCACTGTGTAAGACTCCAGAAGATCTTTTTGATTCAGTCACTCAACAGCTGCATCAGATGTCCACCACTCGTGTTCTGTCTTTCCTGTCATATCATCTGTTGCATCTCAGCCATAAACCATGGTGACTGTGAGCATGAAACTGAAATAGAGTAGCCCTTCTACATCTTCATCAACCATTGAAGACAAGAGACAATCAACAGAGTGGTTAGTTGGCATTACAC